TTTTTTATTATACATCTAATATTTAATTATACTACAATAATAAAATAATAATAAAAGCCGCTATGAATATGAATCCATAGTTTTGAGCCTCGGCACGCACACATAACATATCGAATACGCGCGCCCACATTCGCCTATTTTGAAGCAGGTAAATGTGTGCGTGAAACGAACAGTCAAGCAATACGAGATCACTGTGCGAAAAAAGGATAGCAGTACATTGCTAGCGATCTCTTGAAGCTGAACGGTAATATATCACGCGATACACACACTACTAATGTCGCGCCGTCGCATTTAGTAATAGTTGAAGTATGAAATACTGTATCTAGTCTTTCTGTGATCGAAGCCTAAAATGACGATTTTAAATTTTAGACGTTTTACTGGTCATTTTACTTAAACGTCATTTATCCTTCTAGAGCATATTTCTTGATTGTCCTTCCGATACGGAGGGAATTTAACATCAGTTTCTCTTTCATTCTGTATAGAGAATGACGAGGATACACTGTTTAAATTTAATTTTAGATTTAGAGAATCATACCAGATTCGAGACAAATTACAGCTTATTATTATCAACAGGCATACCACAAGCTAATCTGTTACCATATTGACATATAATAAAAAAAAGGTAAATTTAAAAAATCAAAAAACCCGACTGCTTAATTATACTTCAAATAAAAACTGAAAAGAAAAAAACAAGTCCATTAGTCTATAATTTTGTTAATAAGGAACAAAGCTACTTTAACAGTCGGGACCCATTAGATATTCAAGAATACATAATATTTTACAACAGTGGGTCCCGACTGTTAAAGTAGCTTTGTTCCTTATTAACAAAATTATAGACTACTGGACTTGTTTCTTTCTTTTCAGTTTTTATTTGAAGTATAATTAAGCAGTCGGGTTTTTTGATTTTTTAAATTTACCTTTTTTATTCACACTTTTTAGTTAATTAGTATTTTAAGACGGTATATACCGTAGTCTTGTTACTTCAGTAAGGGAATTAATATCGCGGGAATTATTAAGTACCTTGCGTCGGTCTAAAATATTGATTTATTATTATTGACATATAAAGACTTCACCCGCGGGGTCAAGGCTACAGATGGGCCTCAATTTTCGCAAAAATGTGTGAAGTTAAATCAAGTTGTTACATAAATATCTCTAATGTATGTAAATTTTATAGTAAACTAGCACTTACTCAAAATGTCATCTTTTGTTTATGTTTTTTAATAGTTTAGCAGTAAATATAAAATTCATTTACTTTTATCCGTCGTCTATTTAAAATTGGCAGTGGCTGCATTGTCATGTCAATGCCGGACGTCTAAGATTGTGATATACACAAATTCAGTGTCAGTCCCTAGTCTCATAATTTGATATACCTACATAATTCACAGAAACCCAATATGTAGATGCCAGAAGTTCAAATGTTTTTAATCACCCTACATACAATACCAATCAATGACGTTTATGTCACAGGTTGAAGAAAGCAGTAACTCACGTCTGTTGTTTTGGACAATGGTGGCAACTGCCTTAGATCACTAAATTAAATAATTATGCAATCACCAAAGAAAAGTTTATAATATTTGATTAAACTAAAGGCGCATAATAAAATTTTCATAACGTTAGGTAGAGCACCATAGCAATCTCATTTATTATCAATTTATAGTTCTCTTTGTAGTTTTCTTTTAAAGCGTTCACATTTAACAGGTCAAAGACTTTGTGTTCGACCCTTTTTTATTGGTAGTGTAAAGCTCGAATGAGGAGTACTCCCAGTAGTGCAATCATGGCAATTATTTTCCAATTTTTTTTTTGTTATAAAAATACCGAATAACGTATCACTGTTAAGCACAAATGCTAAGTAACTTTTACAAATATAATCAAATAAACCTATTACTTACTTTATTTTTAAATCTTTTTCATCAATTAAATACTTATCTCATCCTAACTATCTATACTAATATTATAAAGAGGCAAGATTTGTATGTTTGTAACAAATAATCTGTCAAACTACTGAACCGGTTTGAAATATTAATTCATCATAAGGTAGCTACATTATTTATTATAACATTTTTCTTTATTTAAATACATTTAGTCCGAGTGACATAGGCTATATTTTATCCCGATAAATAAATTTCGCCCGTACAATGCCCGGGTGGATCACTAGTAAGTATAATATAATATTATAGATGCGAAAGTGAGTTTGTTTGATGCGCTTCCGTGCCCTAATAGCTAAATCGAATATAATGAATTCCCATATAGAAGTACATGGGAACTTGGTTCTTAGCTACAACATCGCAATACTTTTAGGCGTAGGGTGATGAAAGGGGTGATTTACCTATTAAAATCTACATTATTTACTTTGAATTTTGCAGAATTATTACAAAACCAATATTATCGCGAGCTGATTAATAAATACAGGGATTCCAATAAGTATGTACTTACTAGCGAAAAATGGGTTATTTGTCATTATATTAAGTAAACCTTTTTTGTAACATTAAGTAATATCGTTAAAAAAATGAAAAACAGTAAAATTCTGAGTTTTTCATTAAAATTCAATAATCATAAATACCTATTATGAAAATATAATTTTCATCATTCAATAAGAAGGAACTGTATCACAGTTTTATTGTTAGTACTTCGTATAGGATCAGATCCTGCGAATACCCCATTTTTTTTCTTTTACATAGTACACCACGCTATCACTTTGTCATCGTTGTAACTTTTTAAATATTTGTCGAAATGACATACTGTAAAAAGCAAAGTTTATCCTCTTTAAATATCAAAAGCGATAAAAGTATTTGTTTTCATAAAACATGATTTGTTAATACAAAATGTGCATTTTGGAAATAGATATCAAATAATATTTTAGTTTTGATTCAGTATTTTAGCGGTAATGACTTACACATTAAAAATAGTTATTTTTTTTAGAACTTTTTAAGAGATACATTTTCACTCTGCATTACATTCATGTAACTTTTATTGTTTTTGCAGTGCAGGCCAAAATGGCTCGCAAATGGGAGATTTTTTTCCGTCTTATGTGACACTTATTGTTATATATTGGCCAATTCACTCAATAACTACATAAATTATTATATATATGTAATTATCATATATGAGCTATATTACTGTTAAGTTTCATTAAAATCCATTCAGTATTTTTTAGGTGAAAGAGCAACAAAAATCCATACAAACGTAAGATTGAAATTAAAAGCGTAAGTGGTTAATATACAACTTTAAAGCGTTGTAGATCCTAAACAATCATATAAAATGAAAAATGGTGTTAGGAATCTAAATATGATTTTTGATTATCTAGACAGTGATACCCCACTCGACATATTTTGTCAACTTATTTTTTTTACTTCGTCACAATATGGCGCCTAATTTTGCCCATACTGAATTTTGATTACTATCATATCTTTAGTAGCACTCCCATGATTGAGACGAATCGATTGATGTAAAAATCATCAAAATCGGTCCAGGCGTTTGGTCTCTAGTGTGCCACAAAGGAACAAACATACATATATAGACTGTTAAACACATAACCCTGTCTGCGCGTCGCGCTTCGCGCTCTTGCATTGCGCAGCCGGGTAAAAAAGTGAAACCTACAAAAATGTGAACACGTAAAAGTCCTTCATGACGTCTTAAAGATAACACCTGTGTTAAAATTCAACTCTCTAGGTCGCATTACGCATTTAATGCGCGATTGCTGAGATCAAAGCGACTTATCAAAGAACAATGTTAAAATTGGCCTAAGAACCAACACCAATTTGGCATTTATGATAATTCATAGTATATTTTTTGCGATAATTATCAGTATTTAGATTGTGATGGACACTTCCAGTTAAGTAAGCTAAATTAAAAAGTGAAAAAATAGTCTGAGACATATAAATACCATTTTATGTGTATAATCTATGACAGCGCTTCCTAATGTCGGCACTTCACTTGGGTATTCGTATTTAAATTTAACTATTTCGGCTAACTTATATGCCGTCGATGTTACCAAAGAGCAGAGACATTATTACCAAGTGTTAGTGAACCTGTGCATGAAAAACATCCTGAGAGGATCATACTGCCAAATTATTCAAGAGCACCTGATACACATTCACGCTGCATATTTACACAATATACATCTGATATACAAATAAATACAATATGATACAATTATGTGAAAAATAGTCAATAAATAAGAAGCAAAACTACAGTTTTTATTTTATTCATGATTTCTACCTAACCAAGTTTTTCCTAATAGTTATTCTTTGAAATCGCACCGAATAAAATGTATTACTTGTAATATTAATTCACTTCATACTGAATTCATACTAAGTTCATAGGTTGACCTATGTTTCATTGAATATTAAACATAACCACAAAAAAAAATAAGTTTTCCTAATAATTTAAGTTCTCAGAAGTGTCCGTCAATAATCTTTGTTTTTACAGTCATTTACTCGCGATTTTGAACCTAGAAAATAATATTTCATGATTGTTGGTTCTTAGGCTAACTATGTATGGACACAGAACAATGTCCTTTGAAGTACCAAATATACTTACTTGTTATAGTTAAAACATTAAGGCAAGTTTTTACTTGTAGGCTTTGATTTTAATCAAAGCTTGTAGGTATTTATTCTTATTTTAAGCGTAGTCGAATCACTTTTGTACGTTTTTATTTTCTTCCTATACCTACAGTTTAACATGTAAGATCAATGACCTTATAATTTGCTCAATGTGCATTCTCCAGGGGAGGGAGAGCCCTGGTGCTCTGAGATACAGGCGTTCTGCCTTGTTCAGGCACCAGTCTCACACAATCTATTTAACTGTTCTTATATAAAAATTATAGTATAATAAGTTGTCATGGGATTTGTAGATTGTGGAAGAAGAAATAAAGATTATTATTATTATACAAACCTCGTTTATTAATATGTTTGATGTGGCTTATGAATTAAAACCTTATTGTTGATAAATATCATGGTTTTATTTAATTTTTTTAAAACTATATTTCTTTAATGTTACAGGTGCAAGTGCAAGATGAAGGCGCTGGTGGATCACTATTTGACTGCATTATGGGAATTTCGGCTGATAGCGTGGTGTTTATAGAAGATAGTACTCGTCAAATTATAATGGTTTTACCTACCAACTTGTTACTTGGTGAGTCGTACAACTTGTATAAATGTAAAGCACATCAAAACCGTTTATTCAACAAAACATTTTACATCAATTTCTTCACTCATTATTTCTGACAGGATGTGAATAGGGATATAATGTCTTGCGTCGTCATATTCGATGTTGTTTGTTTCCTCATAAATGTGTTGTAAAGCTAGCATTTGACATGGCTATTCGCATTGGCCTAAACTAAATTAGAAAGCAGTCTCTCCTTTTCATTCCATAGAGAGCAGACTAAGGTTGACTGTTGTCATAATAGGGTATTTCACAGTATGAAAAATAAAGTACCAATTGTTGGCATCTGTATTTAATATGAATAGTAACAGCGATTTTATTATTCTGAGACAACAAATACTAACTTTTCTAAAAAATCAATAAATAGAAATGATTTTTTAGTCTATGGTCACATGACCGAAAATGGAATGGCGAAGACTAAAATAACGTCACACGCAAGTAACATCCGGTCAAAGTGACAATACATTGAATCGTTTGACGTTTTAGTGACAGCCTTGTGACGTTACATACTAGTGAGACGCTATAATGTCCAGAGAAACGTTTTCGCGGCAACTAGATAATGGAATTTTTTGTTTTAGTTTTTTTACTGAAATACTCAACAGAATAATGAATATCCACTTCTTATGGACTACGTAAATATTAGAAAACAACGTGAGAACGTGTTCTTAAATTTGTCAAATCCCTATTAGGTTGGACAAAATACCTATCCATGTGAATTGGTAGTTTCATATCACTAAACTATTGACCTATTAATGTACTGCTGAGGCACAGGCTTTCCCTATGAATGGAATATGGTGATTGAGTCTCTACGGACCCCAGTGCTGATTCGTGATTGTTAGACAGCAGATGCAGCTGGGTTACGACAGCAGATGCAGTTGGGATATGTTTATCCCAGCCTATTCCATTCATAGGGAAAGCCTGTGCTTCAGCAGTACATTAATAGTTTAGTGATATCAAACTACCAATTTAACGTGCCTACCGAAGCACAGAGGAGCTCGAGACAGTTATTTCCCCCGTACTATTACTGGAAGTATTATCTGGAACTACTGTTTCAAATTCAAAAATTCTTTTTGTGTATGATAGTCTATTTACAGAGGTTTCTATAACTGTTTTTTTGTGTGTACGTTGTGTACGTTGCGTAAACGGTTGAAATAACGCAAAAATCATCTATGACGCCATTGTTGTTTAGTAGTTTTTTTTCCTCAAGCAAACGTGAATGGAAACGGAGCAAGTAATACATATTGCGATATATTAGCCTATCTCTTCAACTTTTCTCTTTCGTCTGGACAAGTACCAAATTTCTGGAAATCGGTATTTGTTACGCCTATCCACAAAAAAGGCCCCAAGAATCAGATAGAAAACTATAGACCAATCTCCAAATTGTGTGTTTTCGCGAAAGTCCTTGAAAAGATTGTCTATTCTCAAGTATACTCTGCTATAAGACAAATTCTTAGTGATTCGCAGCATGGCTTTTTAAAAGGTCGATCTACTACCACCAATCTCTTGCTTTGTGAAAACTATATTTCCGAACACATGGCAGCGGGCTATCAAGTGGATGTCGTGTATACCGATTATAGCAAATGTTTCGATAGGATCGATCATGTCGTACTTTTACAAAAGTTGCAAATGATTGGTATACGCGGTAACCTGTTTCGCTGGTTCAGCTCATATGTTGAGAATCGGAGTCAAATCGTTGTTCTCAATGGTTATCAGTCTACCCCACTCTTAATACCTTCTGGATTACCTCAGGGATCACTTTTAGGTCCCTTGTTATTTACGATATTTACGAATGATATATCTTCTAATTTTTTTCACAGTAAAATATTTGTTTATGCGGATGATATGAAAATTTTATGCCCAATCAAATCAATCTCAGATTGTACTCGATTGCAAGAAGACCTTAACAGGTTTCAATCTTATTGCATTAAAAATAAATTAAACCTTAATATTCCAAAATGTTTCGTCTGTTCGTTTTCAAGAAAACCTAAAGTCATTAAATTTAATTATAGTATTCAGAATAATATACCTAACAGGACTTACTATATGCGGGACCTTGGAGTGATTTTTGTTTCTAAGCTTACATTTGAGAATCATATTGATTCAATAGTCTCAAAAGCCAGAAAAGCTCTAGGTTTTGTTATACGAATGTCGTCTGAATTTACAAACATTAAAACTGTAAAAATGCTGTATTGTGCTTTCGTGCGCAGCCACCTCGAATATGCCTCGCAAATATGGAACCCTCAGTACCAGACTTATATTTCGAGGATCGAAGCTATACAAAAACGGTTTCTACGTCATATTCTATTTAAATGTAGGAAATTTCACCATGATTACTTCAGTAGATGTAAAGCATATCATACTTTACCACTTCAGAAACGCAGAGAAATGGCGGACATCTCCCTTTTATTGAAGACTGTTAATAGCAGCATCGATTGCCCTGAATTATTAAGCAAAATATTTATTAGTACCCCTGACAAAATCACTAGACACACTAAAACTCTTTATGTGTCGTTAGTCTCAACTAATTATCGTCAAAAATTTTTCCACAGTTAGAGCTCCTCACACTTTTAACTAGTACTCATCAGGCCAGTTAGATGTTGATTTGTTTTGTGAATTCATTTAAAAAAAAAATCCATAATCTTTTCTTTGAGCCGAGTACTTAAACTATGTATTTTTTATCTTTCTGCTTTTTTAATTGCTTATAAGTATATATAGTACACATACCTACTTAATAATGCATTTAAGCATCATGTGCGCTTCATGCCTTTTTTTTTAAATTATTACTTTAACTATTCGCGGAAACTATCAATTGGCCATAAACATAAATATTATGCAGAATAGCAAGTAAGAGAAACTAGCTGTAAGTTTCCCATAAACTGTAAAAATAAAAAATATAATAAAAATATATAAGATACAAGTAATAGGGGTGACGACGGGGTACAGTAAACGAAATTCTTTTTAGTCCGTCAGTTAGATGATCAAAAAATAATGGACACGTATTTTTCTTTGAGCAATCAACCAAAAAATTACAAAGTTATAGCGCGTCAAAGTTTGGGAGTAGGGGCTCGTGACGTCACTTTTTAGTGAATTTTCACTTATAAGTGTACCAAAACGTGACGTCATACGACTTTTCAAATCAATATATCTCTGCAATGTTTATATTATGTGAAAAAAGAAAAAATATGTGTCCAATACTTTTTGATAATCTACATGATAAACGAAGAAAAAAAAATTAGTCATCATCCCTATTGTCTAAACCTGAGGATTGAGGCACTCTGTATCAGCGTTGCCAGTTTTTTTTTGCCAAGTCGGGATTTAGGAACTTTTTGAGTGTAAAAGCGGGATTCTTTCGTTGAACGCCGGACATAGATAAAAAAAAACGTATATAATCAAAAGTTTTTGAATATTTATCTTTTTATTTGAGTTCAAATTACGTTTACGTTATAATAGATAGGTACCTAGTAAAAATATCCATAGAAAATGTGTTTTAATAATAATATGATATTTTAAATCAGATTTACCCTATCGAATTCAATTAAATAGAATAGAATCTATTAAATATTTGAGTCTTTGTTTGAGAGTTCTTTATTAAGCGTCGGACACGCGGCCAGTGGCCAGTGTCTATAGTTTATAAGACGTAATGTTACTTATATGCTGGTCTAAATTAAGATTATTATTTATATTGTTTCCTAGGATGGGTGGTGAGCAGTGGTTGGACGCGCGTTTACTACCACCGCGGCGAGAGCGTGCGCGTGCGTGCGCGCAACGTGCACGACTCGCTGCTGCGGCGCCTGGCCGCCGTCGCGCCGCACCATGCGCACGCGCTACACGAGATGACGCTCGAGCGAGGTGCCGCCACGCAGCTCGGTAAGCTCCCCGCGCGGCTCATGTATATTGTCACAAACGCTCTCGAAACGTTACCGCGAAAGTGCTAGAGATCGAATTTGCCAGATCACCGCGGGTCGCGATAGAGGTCGAGTAATGCGGCTCATTCTAAAATGAGCCTTTTGCAGTGCGGCGTAAGGGAGAAAGTGCAACGACATCTGCACTTGTTTACAAGTTATGTGCGTTTCCTGCGTAGGTATAAAGTAGGTACTATGTACTCGCGGATGCTAGGTAACTCTCAATTTAACGGGTACTTTCTAGAATTCGTCGATCGGCGTATATAAGCGCGATTGGCGTCGCACAGAGACAGTTGAGTTTCAACAGCGATTTCGGAGCGAATCCAAAGGCGATCAATGTGCAACAAAAGTGTTCAAGTGCGATTGTTTAGAGATTTGTATAGTGAAAAACAGTGTTTAGTGAGTGTTTTGTAAATAACATTGTGTGTTAATTGGGTGAACTGTCAAGCGTGAAGTGGCATATATTTTCGAACCCCATCCCGACACGTAACAATAAAATAAAATAATTTATTGCAATTAACATAATATTTCCTCTGAAACTATCCTCCTGGATATTAACAAAAAACTGGATATAATATATAAGCTCGAAAAACGTATTGAGGAATTACATGAAACAGTAGATTTTTATGCTGAACGATATCAGAAAATGATGGAATTTAGTACGGAGACAGAAAGAAAATTAAAAGCGATGGAGCAGAAGAATATATACATGGAAAAATGCAATGCTGCCTTAGAGGAACGTATACAGTATTTGGAGCAAAAGGAAAGAGAAACAAAGGTGGAAATTATGGGACTTGAGAAGCATGGAACTGAAAACATACAGAAAATTATAGAAAAGGTAGCTAATATTTTGAGAATTGAGTGCAGAAGATACCGAAGAAGCAAGAAGGGTGGGTAGAGAAAAAAATAAAGGAGGTAAGCCGCAAGCTGTAATAGTTAAACTTCACTCAAAAACAGCGAGGGATCGATGGTTAAAAGTTCGTAAAAATACCCCTACTAACGGAGATATATACGGCAACGAAAGCTCCCAGCGTATATATATTAATGAAGATTTACCCAAACAGAAGCGAGAAATATACTGGGAAACCAAAAATCAACTAAAAGGGTTCTATGACTTCATTTGGGTACAAAACGGAAATATATTGGTAAAAAGAAATGAAGACGAAAATAAAATATATAATATCAAAACATTAAAAGATATAGAAGTACTTAAATACAAAACAAACGCAGCAACATCAAAAAGTGCAATATAGCACGGCATGTACACACTATATGATTTTATATATGCTACAAACTTTAATGTATAAAACGGTAGTGAACGGGCGCCGTGAGATGTCCTGCTTGGATCATGTATGGGTGCGAACGAGACAGACTCGCGGGTACTGCGTGAGCGTCGCTGTGTACATTATTGACTGCTTCATATCGGATCATCACATAGTTGGTATTTGTGTAAGCACAGGTATGAGTGACAAAATATAATACAAAAAAGATCAAGTGAGTGTGTTTGGTCAATTGCGTTACTCATTGTCTCAACGACAAGTTAATGATGGTTTAGTATTGTATGACTGGAATAAACTTAACGGATTAAACTACCCCTTAGTGTTATATGATCATATATGCAATGTGTTCAAGAGTGTGTATGAAAATAGTCAGAAGTTACAGGTGTTAGGTAAGAAAAATCTATTTAAGCAACCGTGGGTTGATTTTAAATTATTAAAAATGATTGAAAAGAGGGATAAATTGTTTCGTATATGGAAAGCATCTCCTAAAAACATGAATAAGCGGTTAGATTATACGCGGTGTAGGAATAAGGTAAATAAATTGATTTTTTATGCAAAAAATAAGTACAGAAGGGGTCAAATAACTAATTGTAATGGTGATTATAGGAAAGTATGGGCGCATATTAATGAATGGACTGGACAGGTAATGCCAAGTTTAGATAATGTAATAATTAAGCACCTAGGAAAATTAGACAGTATTTCAAATATTTGTAATAACTTTACGACAACTTTTACAAAGGAAATATTAGAAATTAAACATTATTGTAATATAAAATTTATGGACAGAAAAACATATGTAAAAGAAAGTAACGTCACATTTAGATACAGGAAAGTGAATGCAGTACAAGTGGAAAGAATCATTAGAAACACAGATTGCCATAAGGCACCTGGGGTAGATAAAATAAGAGCACAAGATTTAAAATATATAAAACAGAAAATCTGTCCTTTACTAGCCAAAATTATTAATATTTGAATTAAGCAAGGAACTTATCCAGAGCAATTAAAAAAAAGTATCATACGTCCAATACACAAAAAAGGTAGTTATACAGACTATACTAATTATAGACCAGTAGCAATATTGTCGGTTATTAATAAGGTGATGGAAAAGGTTATAGTAGGTCAAATTACAGAGTTTTTAGAAAAGCAGTAAAAGTTCCATTGTATGTGTATAATGTGTCAAAGAATGTCAATACAAGTGATATTGTGAGCTATATCAAAAATAAAACGGGACTATGTGCATGTGTGGAGAAAAACACAATGAAGCTAGACAAAGATTATAATGGCTTTAAGGTGTTTGTGCCCAAGCATAAATTGGACATTTTTATGAGTGATGATTTCTGGCCCGAAGGTATAATTTATCGTCGCTATATAGATTTCAAACAGAAGAGAGCACCGAGAAATGACTGAATAATAAAAATAAATAAAAATGAACACTACCACAACTAAATTAATTACCTTTAATTGTAAAGGTGCATTACGATCAATGGACTGTATCCGGAGATTATGTCAAACTGCGGATGTGATTGCCCTACAAGAGACTTGGCTCCTACCACATGATATTCCATCTCTGGGTGATATTAACCAGGATTTTGCCTACACCGGAAAGTCAGCCGTCGATACGTCGAAAGGCATACTGCGTGGAAGGCCGTACGGTGGTGTGGCCATATTATGGAAAAAATCATCGTTTCCGTGTGTGTCCGTAATAAATTGTAACAGTGTGCGTCTCGCAGCAGTCAAAATGGAGCTACACGATAAGGCGGTGTTGTTATTCTCAGTGTACATGCCTACAGATACTAATGATAACCTCATAGAATTCATTGAGTGTCTAAGTGAAATAAATGCGATAATTGAAAATAGTGATGTGCAATCCGTGTACATACTTGGGGATTTCAACGCGCACCCCGGTGAGTTATTCGCTTGTGAACTATTTAATTTTTGTGCTGAACAATCTTGGTCTTGTATAGACACTAAGCTCCTTCCTTCGAATACTTACACATACATAAGTGATGCTCACGGATGTAAGCGATGGTTGGACCACATTTTAGTGACTGACTCCTCACGGCAATCAATAATTAACTGTGTTGTCTTAAATGATGTTTATTGGTCTGACCATATACCGTTGCAAATAGAATGTAATTTAAAGTTGTTAAAATCTAAATATGTTTCTTCAAGTAAAAATTACTCTGGTAATAAGATTGTCTGGGGCACAAGGAATTTAACTCAAAGAAATAAATATTTTGAAAGTTGTAATTTAGAATTAAAAGAATTTAATTTTCCTATAGAATTTGGTAATTGTGCGGATAATAAATGTCTTAAAAAGGGTTGTAGACTACTTTTGGATAGTATGTACGATAAAATTGTAAAAATTCTTTCAGACGCTGCTGTTACTAGTAATAATTACAGTAAACGAAAGTGGAAATATAAAATAGGTTGGAATAAGTATGTTAGAGAGTCTCACAGGAGGGCTCAGGAATGTTATTATAAATGGTTGTTGTTTGACAAACCAGGTAGTGGTTGCATTTATGAAGACATGTATAACTCACGTAAAATATTTAAGTCACGTTTAAAATGGAGTCAAAATAATTCCCAACAAGTTAAAATGGATTTATTGGCTGACCATCACAAAGAAAGGAAGTTTCATCAATTTTGGAAATGTACAAATAGTTTAAGTGGCAAGGTGAGCCTTCCTGTGAGTGTCGCTGGCTGTCATGAGCCACTTGAAATTGCGGAAGCATTCAGTCGTAGTTTCAGAGTACAATCTTCTTTGGGCGCATGGTTGCCGGAGCTCAATGCTGAATGTCAAAATGCCATGCCTAGTGATCGCTTCTCCGCCAAGGAGGTAGCGTTTGTGATTAAGAATATGACCAGGGGGAAATCCCCAGGCCACGATGGCCTCAGTGTTGAGCATCTGCAAAATGGCGGCGTACATTTGCCTAGAGTCTTGGCAATGTTTTTCTCGCTGTGTCTGAATCATTCCTATTTACCTGATAAACTGATGTATACTATTGTAACACCCATTGTTAAAAATAAAACGGGTGACATATCGGAACTGTCAAATTATAGACCAATTTCATTGGCCACTGTTATTGCGAAAGTTTTGGACAGTCTGCTTGATAAACGCTTAAACAAACATTTACATTTGCACGACGCACAGTTTGGTTTCAAATCTGGGCTGTCAACTGAAAGTGCAATTTTTTGCCTTAAGCAGACTGTTCAATATTATACTGCTCGAAAAACACCGGTATACGCTTGTTACCTGGACCTGTCGAAAGCATTTGATTTGGTATCATATAATATACTTTGGAAAAAACTAAAATTTGAAACCAGCCTTTCTGATGAATATATATCGCTGCTTAAATACTGGTACAGTGGTCAAAGAAATAGTGTTCGATGGGCGGGTGCCTATTCTAGTGCATACAAGCTTGAGTGTGGCGTAAGACAGGCAGGAATAACCTCACCACGTCTTTTCAATCTTTACATCAACGCGCTCATTGGGGGGCTCAGCAGCACTGGCGTAGGTTGTCACATAGACGGAGTCTGTGTGAACAATATTAGTTATGCTGATGATATGGTGCTGCTGAGCCCTTCAGTGGGTGCTTTGAGAAAATTATTGGGAATTTGTGAACGTTATGCAGAAGCTCACGGGCTTAAGTATAACGCGAACAAAAGTGAGTTTATGGTATTC